CTTCCTTCCTTCCTTCCTTCCTTCCTTCCTTCCTTCCTTCCTTCCTCCTTTCGGGAGGATCTCCTGTAGCCCTGGGCCAGCCTCCTACTGAGGATGTCCTTGAACTCCTGATCCTCCTGCCTCCACCTCCTGAGTGTTGGAATTGCAGGTGCATGCCACCATGCCTGGCTTTCCATGTTTTCATAAACCTGCAGATACTCTGCTATGTGATGTAAAGATTAAGACCAGTATATGACAGACAAAAAGTCACTTACAAAGAATAATTGGGGGCGGGATGGCTTAGTGAATGAAAGGTGCTTCTGCTAAGACTGACAACCTGTTTGATCCCTGGGTCCTACTTGGGGGAAGGAGAGAACTGACTCCTGCAAGTTTGTCCTCTGACCTCCACATGAGTGCTGTGGTGCACACTTGGGAGTGCACACACACCCTCCTCCCTGTAAAGAAATGCAGTAGTAATAATAATAAATGTAGTAATAATAAACATTTAAAAATAGATGTACCCTAGCTCAGAAAAATGTTATTGAATAGGTTAATGCTGTTGTAATGAAATGCTTCTTCTAATAAACAACAAAAAAAAATTAATAAGGCACATTCTTATGGACGTGACCTTCCAAAAATGCACTTTGCCTTTCTGCTTGCGCACCCTTGGAACGTGAACGGAGGAAACAAGGGGATTGGCGGGAGAGAAAAGGGCCCTAGCAACACGGCAGGTGGTTGAGGGAGATTGGGGGAGACTCTCAGTCTTAAGACTCTGCAGCCCAGCTTTTCTGTTTCATCAGGAAAATTCCATGATGTGTCTGAGAGAACACACTGGACACCGTTTCTTAACGCCAGCATTCACTATATCCGAGAAAACTACCCTCTTCCCTGGGAGAAGGTAGGCACGTCCTCCACCGCCCATGGATTCTCTGCATTGCTAAGTCCTGCTTTCTCTGTCTGCATTACCCCATTTGGACTGTCCCCAGACTCGGATAACTGTTTGCCAAGCACAGAACTGGAGATGCAGTCGATGTCTAGTTAATATTTAAATGAGTTGTCAAAGAAGTTTGGAGTTTGTCACTTGGTCATTTTTCTCCGATGGCGATGAATCTGAAAAGCTTCCAACGCACTGCGAAACATTTCAGACAGGCCTCTGTGCTTTTCAGCAACTGAACCTTGTAATTTACGTGCTTCTAAGTACTTACTAAGTTTCAGTAATGGAAATAAACTCATGTTTGTTAAAGCTTTTCAGAAAATTGTCATAAAATAACCCAAACATGCATGAATTGAATTTTGCTTTTTTGTTAGGACACAGAGAAACTGGTGGCGTTCCTGTTTGGGATCACTTCACACATGGTGGCCGATGTCAGCTGGCACAGTCTGGGCATTGAGCAAGGGTTCCTCAGGACCATGGGAGCCGTGAGTGTACATCTACAGGGGAGCACCACAGCCACACCAGTTCAAACCAGACCCGGGCACGTAGATCAGGGGCAGAGTGCATACCCAGCATGCTTGGGGCCCTGGTTGACCCCCAGCTCTGCAAACAGGGAAAGGAAACTTGAGGCTATTCCCATGTCATGAAGGAACAGCCCTCTTGTCCAAGCAGGCGTCTGGTCCGAGTTCCATCTTTTTCTGCCCATTCTGTACATTCTTGCCACCCATGGAAACTCATCCATAAGAACAAAACCCACCAATGTCCTGGAAACAGTAGTAGATGTGACTCTTGGTGTCCTTCGGGCTGAGTGTCTGAATAGGGGCCCTGACACTTGGCTCTGTTCAAAATGGTCTAAAAACTGTGGTTTTTACCTTAACTTCTGGAAGCCTCTACTGCCCATTAGTTGATTTTTTTTACTTTTTGCATTTTTAAAAATTAATTTTTTAATCAGCATATAAAATAATGGGTTTCATTATGACATTTTCACACACACGCACGCACGCACGCACGCACTCTTACCCCCATCCAAGCTGGCTGCTATTGATTCCATTCCGTTGAAAGTTTAGTCTCAGACCGTTGGAGACCTTGTCTACCCCAGGGAAGTAGAGCTTTATGACATTTTCACACACACACACACACACACGCACGCACGCACGCACGCACACACTCTTACCCCTATCCAAGCTGGTGGCTGTTGATTCCATTCTGTTGGAAGTTTAGTCTCAGACCGTTGGAGACCTTGTCTACCCCAGGGAAGTAGAGCTGACGGCCGCTCAGTGGCCACACAGGCTTGGAGAACGTTAGGCTGAAGACAGAGCCCGTCTGTGATGCACCTCTGTGGTTCATGGAGTCAGGCTGTGATGTTTTGGTCACTTTCTTCCCCAGATTGATTTTCACGGCTCCTACTCTGAGGCTCACTCGGCTGGTGACTTTGGTACTGTTTCTTTACGTTTGCCATATGCTAACACTTTTGCTTTGCTTTTATTTATTGTTGGTATGTGTGTGTGTGTGTGTGTGTGTGTGTGTGTCCATCCATGCACATGCCGCAACATGTGTGTGCAGGTCAGAGGACCACTTTGTGGAGTCAGTTCCACCTGTATGTGGGTCCTGGGGATTGAACTCAGGTTGTCAGGCTGAGCTAACCCACCAGCCCCATGTGTTGTCCGTTCTTCTAATTTTAATGTTGAAGTTCATGTTGAGTATAAGCATGGCTCATTCAACACAGATACACAGCTAAGTAGGTGTATTGGTGTTTTTTGGGTTTTGTTTTTTTGTTTTTGAGACAGGGTCTTCCTGTAGCTCCAGTTGTCCTGGAACTCACTATGTAGACCAGGCTGGCCTTGAACTCAGAGAGATCTGCCTGCCTCTGCCTCCCAAGTGCTCAGACTACAGGTGTGTACCACCATGCCCGGCATATTGGTGTATTTTTTTTTTAAAAAAAAAACCTGTATATTTTGTTTTTGACTTGTCATCATTTTAGACTCCATTTATAACTCTAGTTATAAATTGGATTAAAATTCATTAGCTAGATTATTAGTCTCTTAGTCATTTATACTTTATTTTTAAATTGGTAAGCTCCATCATATGTGCAGGCAATATACTCATACACACAAAATAAAAATAAACACAGTATTTTAAAAAATATTCAAAACTAGACTGGGCATGGTGGTACACACCTTTAATCCTAGCATTCAGGAGGCAGAGGCAGGCAGATCTTTGTGAGTTTGAGGCCAGCCTGGTCTACATAGTGAGTTCCAGGCCATCTGTGGTTACAGGGAGACCCTGTCTCAAATAACCAAACAATCCTTTTGTCATACAGATGATTCTTAATTCATATACTTCACTAGCTAAGGTTTTAAAAGATTGCTTTTTCTTCATGAAAGACCTGAAACAATGGACAATAACCTGGTTTGTGAGTGAGTGTATTCAGAGAAGCTGTTGCCACTAATCTGTCAAATGTCACTTTTTCTTCTCTTGTAGGAGGAGATGTGTTGAGCCAGTTTGAGTTTAATTTTAATTACCTCGCACACCGCTGGTAAGAGCAGTGTTCTTTTAAACATGTGATGCTGAAATGGCATTTCTGATTTAGACTCTCATTCTTAGAAAATAATTTGCAACATAATTAAGAATCTTCTGCATGTGTAAAGTTGTTAACTGTATTTATGGGGTACAATGTGATATGTGTAAATAAGTACATTGAGTAATCAGCAAACCCATCACATTTATTGTTCATTTGTTGTGAAAACATTAAAAGTCCTCTTGTTTGGTGCTTTGAGATGCGGAGCATCATTAACTGTAGTCACTCCACTGTGCAATAGAACACTAGGACTGACTGGGCTGGATGCTTCAGCACACAGCCGTTATCCAGCACTCGATTAGGGATTCAAGGGCATCCTTGGCTACATACTGAGTTTGGGGTTAGCCTGGGCTACATGAGCTTCTGTCTCAAAAAACAAAAACAAAAACTACCAAAAACCAAACAAAAAACCCAAAATCAAAATAAAACAAAAACTTTGAAGACCAGAGTGATTCTCTTTCAAGGGCCTAGTTATTAATAAGCCCTTCCCATTTCCTGCCCCCTTTGCTACTCTCTATCCCTGTAAGATGGCTTTTTAAGATTCCACATATGGGGCCTGAGAGATGGCTCAGCGGTTAAGAGCACTGGCTGCTCCTGCAGAGGACCCAGGTTTGGTTCCCAGGACCCACATGGCAGCTAACAATTGTCTGTATCTGCATTTCTAGGAGATCCAACAGCCTCTTCTGTCCTCCGCAGATATTGCACTTACATACATGTAGACATAACACTCATACACATAAAAAAAGAAAAAGAAAAAAGAAAGAGAGCCTGCAGGCTTTACTATGTAAAGGCGCCTGGTGCCAAGCCTGCCTGAATTCGAGCCCCGGAACCCAAAAGGTAGAAGGTGAGAACTGACTTCCCCAAGTTGCCTTCTGACCTTCACACACACCATGGTACACACACGCACACACACACACACCATGGTACACACACGCACACACGCACACGATGGCACACACACACACACACGCCATGGTACACACACGCACACACGCACACGATGGCACACACACACACACACGCCATGGTACACACACGCACACACGCACACGATGGCACACACACACACACACGCCATGGTACACACACGCACACACGCACACGATGGCACACACACACACACACGCCATGGTACACACACGCACACACGCACACGATGGCACACACACACACACACGCCATGGTACACACACGCACACACGCACACGATGGCACACACACACACACACGCCATGGTACACACACGCACACACGCACACGATGGCACACACACACACACACGCCATGGTACACACACGCACACACGCACACGATGGCACACACACACACACACGCCATGGTACACACACGCACACACGCACACGATGGCACACACACACACACACGCCATGGTACACACACGCACACACGCACACGATGGCACACACACACACACACGCCATGGTACACACACGCACACACGCACACGATGGCACACACACACACACACGCCATGGTACACACACGCACACACACACACACCATGGTACACACACACACACACACGTGAGTGGAATTATACACTATGAACTCTCCTCCACTTTCCTTAAAATGTTTTGAGGTTTCACAGTATCATAGACTGACTGAACTCCACACTCCGCGTGCTTGGCCGTATTCAGTTCTGTGCTGTGTGAACGTATGACACGGAAGTTATGATTCCGATGTTGAGGGACTAAGTAAAGTGCTTTCGCTTTATCCTTGGTGTGTGAGCAAGCGAGTTTCTCCACTTTCTACATTGCATCATGTGTTCCCCACGCGCATCAGAGGGCCACTGCTCTCCAGTGGGTGGAGAGGGGGTCCTGGGCTGTGAGCTTCTGCATGTCCAACTTCCCCAAAGGGCCTTTCTGCCACCTGCTGTCCCAGCTCTGTGTGGTCGTTCTCCTCGCCTGTACCCCTAACACTTAGAATTGTCCAGCTGTTACCTTCTCAAACCTGTGTGGTGTGTAATGGCATCTCATGATGTCAAACCTGTGTGGTGTGTAATGGCATCTCATGATGGTTTTTATTAGAATTTATCAGATTCCTACTGGGGTTAAACTTTTTGCTCTGTTTTTATGCGTCATTTATGTTGGATTAAAAAAAACCCTTTCCGTTTTTGTGCATTGGTTTTTCTTTTTTATTTATCTGTATGACCCCCCCCCCATACATACCTTGTTACTAGAGATTCAGCCAAGGCTTTGCTCCAGCTGGGCCATCTACCCTAACGCTGAGCTACATCGCCACCACCCAACCCCTTATTTTATTACTTTTCAGAAGAAAGTGTCGGATTCCCTGGAACTGTAGTTAAGGATGGTTGTTAGCCATCATGTGGGTGCTGGGAATCGAACCCAGGTCCTCTGCAAGAGCAGCCAGTGCTCTTAACCACTGAGCCATCTCTACAACCCAGAGCTTTTCTTTATAACATAGAGAGAGAGTACTGTGACCAGTGAGGAAATGGTATGCTATTGAAAACTGGTTCCAGTGCAATCAGACACTTTAAAAAAAAATTCATGTGCATGAGTGTATTGCCTGCATGTATGTGAGTATACCCATGTCATGCAATGTCTCGGAGGTCAGAAGAGGCCTTCAGATTCCCCTGGAACTGGAGTTAAGGATGGAGCATAGCAGCTGTGTGGGTTCTGGGAATCGAACCTGGGTCCTCTGCAAGAGCAGTCAGTGCTCTTAACCGCTCAGCCCCAGCAATCACACTTTTGACTTAATGATGATCGGTTAAGCTTACTAGTCATAAAAACAAAAGATGTGTTAGCTATAATTAAGATACCTTACTATGGTTTTCTTTGTTTGGAAAGAGCAACTTGTCCTTTAAAATATCCCTCTATGACTGTGGAGTTTTTCAGAGTCCCCTGTTCTGTCTGTGTTTTCGAGAAGCTCCAGTATCAGAGACATTCAAGTTCTGGTGCCCAGAACTTTTTAACATGATGTAGTTACCTCTGCATCTCTAAGGGGCCTCTCCTTTGGTGTCTGCGTCCCTGTGGCTTTCCTGACCAGCTTTCAGCTGCGTTGCATGGTGTGTGAGCTACTTGGGTTCTGGATTAGGTTTGTGGTTTTCAGCAAGGGTCTGCGTTTTCTTTTCTGGTACTGTTCCCAAGGACCCTTTTAAGTTACATCAGGCCCCTGACGTTTTTTTCTCTCTACTGCTCAGTAGTCTAATTTTAAGTGGTCCTGGCTGGCTTAGCAATATATATTTTTAATTTTTTTCTCCACTACAAAAGTCAGTAGCCTTTTGTGCTCTGGGTTCAGTGCAGCATCTCTTTGGAGATGGCCCATGATGGGTGGTCCCTATGTTCACCCTATCTGCCTCACACTGCACAAACCCTTCAGGTTCCTAGCAGATGTCAGCTGAGCGAAGGTTTCCTGCTTGCTCACCTCAAAGTTTCTCGTATCCATTTCATTTTGGTCTTTGGAAAAATTTTACTTCCTTGCTAGCTTAGTGATTCATTAAAACAAATATTTTTATTCTTTCTTGTTTTTGTGCTATTTTTGTTAAGGTCATTTGGATGCTCTTAGAAGTTTAAAAATGGACTTCTCAACACACACACACACACACACACACACACACACACACAAAAGTGGGGTGTGGTGGCACCTTTAATCCCAGCACTTGGGAGGCAGAAGCAGGTGGAGCTCCATGAGTTCAAGCCCAGCCTGGTCTACATAGTGAGTTGCAGGACAGCTGGGGCTACACAGCAAGAACCTGTCTGGAAAAAGAATAGATAGATAGATAGATGATAGATAGATAGATAGATAGATAGATAGATAGATAGATGATAGATAGATAGATAGATAGATGATAGATAGATAGATGATAGATAGATAGAAAGATAGATGATAGATAGATATAGATGATGATAGATAGAT